TGACCCTGAGCAAGTCACTTGACTGCTGTCTGTCTCAGTTTCCTCAGTTGTAAAATGGGGATAATAGCCCCTACCTCACAGGGTTGTTGTGAGGATCAAATGAAATAATATTTGTAAAGCACTTGGCACAATGCCTGGCGCATGACAATTATTTAATAAGGACCTATTCCCTTCCTCCTTTCCCTCTTACCCCTGATGGGCCAGAACAGGGATGATGGCACCAGCCACTTACTGTTTTAGTGACGTGGCTTTGTCACAAGTTAGAGGTGGCTCGGCTGGCTATGATTTGGCTATAGATGGATTTGAAGCCAAGGGACCTGGGTTTGAATCCCAGCCCTGCTATTTATTGCCACATGACCTTGGACAAGTCACTTCATTCTCTGGGCCTCAGTTTCCTCATCTGTGAAATGAGGTCAGTCGTACTAAATAAGCTCTGAGATCATTTCCAGTTTTCCATCCTCAGATCCTGTGGGCTTTCAGTGAGGGAGCCAGGTGACCTTGAGCTATTTAGGGGAAGAAGCTCCAGTTTCAGTAGAGGAAGCTTCTGCTATGCCCCTAGGAAGATGAATGGCTCGGTGGGGCAAATACCATAGATTGCTCCTGCAGTTGGGTTCAGCCGGGCTTCCCTGATGTGACAAAAGAAGCCTGGGTTGTTCTTGGAGTCCCTGAGCTAGGGATAAGTGGAGGAATGTGGATGCCAACTGCAACACATGACCTGGGGGTGGGGGTGGACTCCCCTCAAGTTTTGAATACAGCGGTGAACTGGGATGGGGTAGAGGAGAAAGCCTGAGCAAAAATGTAGCAATGACGCCGTTCAGGGTGTTCAGGACCCTGCTGACCCCCTTGTGTGGCCATCCTCGCTTCCTGTGGCCAGCTCTCCTAGCTAGAAAAGAAGGCAAAGTCCCTACCTTAAGCATGCTCACAATCTAATGAGAGAAGGGAAGTCTCAAACAGGATAGTAACAGTGGGAAAAAAGAATGTTAGACACGGAAGAGATTTAAGAACAGAATGTCAGAGCTGGGAAGGATCTGTGAAGAATATTGTAGTCTATAATTCTTTTTTTTTTTTTTTACTCAAAGTATGGTTCTTATTCAAATTCAAACTAATCTCCAAAATGTTGAGAGAAAAAATCAACAGAAGGAATTGCATCTCAAGTATTACGTGAATCTAGTTTAGACTCAAAACTTTCTAAAATGCTAAGGGGAGGCAATTAATTAAATTAACAACAGCCACCACCACCATCACCTCCACCACCACCACCACCACTGCCATCACACTTTAATTAGGTGTTATCAAGTGTCCAGAACACAAAAGAAGTCGGCCCTCTCAAAGGAGTCACAAGATTCACATGCAGCAAATAGTAGGTTAGGGAAGTGTTTGTTTATTTATTTTTAAATCTCAGTGACGCAGAAACTTCTGAAAATGGAGGGAGAAAAGAGGGGATCTCTCTCTAGAGCTAAGTGACCAATCTTTTTTTTTTTTTTTTTTTTTTGGCTAGGCAATGGGCTTAAGTGACTTGCCCAGGGTCATACAGCCAGTAAGTGTCAAGTGTCTGAGGTCAGATTTGAACTCAGGTCCTCCTGACTCCTGGGCTGGTGCTCTATCCACTGTGCCACCTGATAAATGACGAATCTTATGCCCATTACCTACACGCTGACCCTCAGCTGTGCTATCTTCCAAACATATTCCTAATAAGGAAGGCATCTCTATAATTCTTTTTTGTTTTGTTTTGTTTTGTTTTTGCTTTTTTGGTGAGGCACTTGGGGTTAAGTGACTTGACTAAGGTCACACAGCTAGTAAGCACCTCTCTAATTCTTAAAGCCAGAAGGAATCTATCCCAAATCCCTCATTTTACGGGTGAGGCAACTGAGGTTTCAAGAGTTAAGTGACTTGCTAAGATTTGTGGTCAGATCCAGGCCTCGTGGCTAGCCAGAAGGCAGGGGTCAGAGTGGCACTGCCACAGGATCAGTCCTGAGGTCGGGGATGTGGAGTGCTCATACTCTTCCTGATCTTGACATACCTCAAAGAAGTCTGGTAGGCCTTTAATCTCTGTTTTGGGGCAGGAGAAATTGAAGGTCTAAGTCATTCAGCTAATTATCAGGCCAAGTGGGGAGCCTAGCTCTCCTGATTCTTGGGGCTATGGTTTTTCTGTTTCCCACATGATGCCTCCTCAGTGTAAGACCAGAGCAGAAGCATCCTTCCTCCCTACCCCACTCCCATCAGCATCGGGGTAGGAACCACCTATTTTGCCCTGAGAAAAGCCAAGAGGACCAAACCATTGCCTTCCTGGCCACTCCGTAACGGTGAGCTCTCAGTAAGAAGGTTCCTATGACTTAAGAGTTTGCTAAAATATCAGAAAGCAGCTAGTCCAATCCTGCTTCAACCTGTTCTGGCATTTTAGCAAGGGCACCATCCTTCTCTGGGGCTCAGTTTTATCTTTCTGACAAATGGGGCAACCACTGACACCTAGGATAGACATTCATGGTTGGGAAGCCAGAGATAATGTGTGCCTAATATAACCTGGGGTCAGAAGAGGAAGAGGAGAGTGTTGAGGCTAAGCTAGGCTAGGCCAGGCTAAGTGTCTCAAATGTGTCTCCCTCCCTCAGGGATTTTGCTGCAGGACTGTCTGCTCCCTTTCCCAGAACCACTAGCATTATTTTTAACCCTGCTGACAGTGGGGAGATAATCCTATGTGAAATCAAGAAGAGAGCTCTTCTACTGCAGTACTAACCCCTTCCCCAGGAAGACCCCCCCCAAAACAGCACTGCCCACCCCTCTCCCCAGAAGCCCTCTGACTCAGTACTATTCTCCTGATGGTCAGCCACCTCTAGGAAGCCCCTCCCTAACACTTTTCTCCCCTGGATATTTGGAAGCCCCCTAGTGATTCCAGAGCTACCCATGGGATAACTAATCAGATTTCCTTGCCCTACATCTGTGTGCTTAGAATAGGGGACACATACTTCTAGGGGTAGGAAGTGGGAAGAAGGAATGGTTCAGGAACCCTGGTTCTACTACTAACTCTATGTGTGACCTTGGACATGTCACTTTAATCTCTCTGGACCTCAGTTTCCTCATCTGTAAAATGGAACAACAATAATTTCACTCTCTCAGGATTATTGTGAGGGGACAAAAAACTCAAACTCTGGAATCTTTAACGTGCTATAGAAATGTGAGTTATTTGGCAATCATTTTGTATTAGCCCCACTGGGGATGCCATAGCCTGTCAGGCTTTGTGTTGTCATTCTATGATTTCTTTTCTCCTTCAAGTCTTACTGTAATGATACTACCCCTAGAAGTATGTGTCCCCTATTCTAAGCACACAGATGTAGGGCAAGGAAATCTGATTAGTTATCCCATGGGCAGCTCTGAAATCACTAGGGGGCCTCTAAATATCCAGGGGAGAAAAGTGTTAGGGAGGGGCTTCCTAGAGGTGGCTGACCATCAGGAGAATAGTACTGAGTCAGAGGGCTTCTGGGGAGAGGGGTGGGCAGTGCTGTTTTGGGGGGGGGTCTTCCTGGGGAAGGGGTTAGTACTGCAGTAGAAGAGCTCTCTTTTTGATTTCACATAGGATCCTACAGTGCTTTACCATTTATAAAGTACTTTTCTCACAACTCTAAGCAGCAAGCAGTATAAATTTTAATATCTCCATTTATTTGGAGGTAAAATGACTTGCCCAGGATCAAATAGCTAAGAAGCATCAGAAGTGGGTTTGAATCTAGCTCTCGACCCCAAGAAAATAGCCCTTCCTTCTACACCAGGCTGCGTGTAAACACACAGAGTATATGAAAGTCAACGTGTGTTTATGTAGGCAGCAGGGGGTACTAGGGAGTTAGGCAGGCTTAGCAGCAAGTTGGGGGGTTAGGGTGGAATCGGGGAGGGAGTGATGGAGAAAGAGGTAGTGAGTGATGGGGGAGGGACTTCCTTGTTCCCTCTCATCCTGTCTCCTTTGTGGAAGCACTCTCCCTCTTCCCTCCAGGGAATGGCTTTCTTTTGGGACCCAGTTGTCCAACTATGGCAACCAGTGGTTCATAAAGGAGACCAAACTGCAGCTGCCCCCGATTTGTTCCCTTGCAGCCTGACACTCTCACCAGCTTGGGACTTTTTTCCAGGAGCAGCTGAAAGCCAAATACACATGCTCTACACTCTATTTACTGCTTTCATAGCTTTAAGCCCGCAGCTCAGCTCTCACTGATCACACCTTTCATCTCCCTAGACGAGCAAGGACTCTTAACCTCATTTGTGTCATGGACCCCTCCGGCAGTTATTAAAATATAGAATTAGAAAGAAAAAGTTCAGAGATCCCAGGTTAAGAACCCTTGCCTAGAGTAAGAATTGTTTTCTATCTTATCATTTCTCTGTGTGTAAGCTTAGCATTTCTGATGGCCAAGAGGGTTTCATAGTAGGTAAGTGAGATCTAAGTTGAGAGCCACAGATAAGGAAAGGATGAGCTTGACCTTTTGGCTAAGTGGAAACGAGGTAGAGGGCTTCATTAGGAGGTCAGAAGGAGCCCCTGGATCCATCCCATACCTTGGACCAGAGCCGGGTATCCCCGGCACTCTGGCTGCCTTGGATACAGCACGGGATCAGTCCAGATCTTCTGATAGGCTCACATGCCTTATCTCCCATGCTTTGCTCTTGAGTTGTATCTTCTTGCTGGTCTGGCTCACCAGCATCTTTTACTCACAACTCTTTTTTTTTTCCAAAGGCGAGGTGGAGGTGGGGGATCAGGATAGATGAGAGTCAAGGTTGGCCCATCTGGAGTTAGTCTTCTCTATCCCAAAGACAGGTTATAAACCTTTGTATTGCATGGACTCCAAAGTGAGCATGCATGTGTAGAGATACATATCTCTGTACATACTTATGCATGAACATGTAAATACCCACCTCAGGGAATTACCGTAACTGGAATGAGGATCCTCTTTCCACGATCAATAACATTATTGTGCTGGGGTGAAAGTGCCCTGGAGAGACCTTGAACTCTCTGTGTCTTGTTTCCCCAGGACAAGTCATGCCAAGGCCAAGGCGGATGGAGCAGAGCAGGCCGCAGTGGCGGCCAACAGCGAATCCAGCATTGCACGGACCCTGGCCAGGGAGCTGTCTCCGGACTTCTACCAGCCAGGTAAGACATAGCATGGTGTGGCATGGGCTAGCAGAGAGAAGAGAGGGAGGAGATTTCAGGACTTTTCCTCAGATGTCTCTTAGCCATCCAAGCACCAACTATCGTAAGAACAACTCACTTTTCCAGAACGCTTGATGGTTACGTGATGCTTTCACATTCCTTATCTCATCCAATCCTCATGACAAGCCTGAGAGATAGGCAGGGCAGGTATCATAATTCTCATTTTACAGGTTAGGAAACTAAGACTCAGACCATGTCTCTGAGGTTGCCAGGCTCTGTGTAGCAGAACCAGGACCCAGATCCAGGTCTTCTGACTTATAATCCAAAGCTCTCTCCACTCTGTAAAACTCTATAAAACTCCCTCTATATGTGGAGAATGTGGAATTTAGGTTGGACCTTGAACGATGGATAGGATTTCCCTTTCCATTTCCGTTTCCTTGGTCCTCTTTTTTTCAAGGGTTCCCTCTACAAATGTAGGCCAGCTCCTGGAGGTATAGGTAGGGATGTCACACAGTGCAAAGTGATGGACTTGGAGACAGGAAAACCAGAGCTTGAACCTTGCCCCAGGCAATTATTAGCTCTGTGACTCTCAAAATACATAGCCTCTCTGTGCCTCAGTTACCTTTTCTGTAAAATGAGGATAATAATAGCACCTGCCTCCCAAGGCTGTTGTGAGGATCAAATGAATTAATATATGTAAAGTCTTTTGCAAACCTAAAAGCATTATGTACATGCTAGCTATTATCATGGCTGTTGTTACTGTTACGACCAAGATGTGACTTCTACACAAACATCACAGTATAATGAAAAGAGTGCATTCACATCTGGGTTCAAATTGATGCTCTGACAATTTATTAGCTGTGTGACAGTGAGCAAATCACTTTATCTTTCTGAGACTCAATTTCCTCTTCTTTAAAAGGGAATTAATAAGGGGTAGCTAGGTGCTGAAGTGAATAGAGCAATGGCCCTGGAGGCAAGAGGCTCTGAGTTCAAATTTGACCTCAGACACTTACTAGGTGTGTGACCCTGGGCAAGTCACTTAATCCTGATTGCGTCCCACTCCTCACCCAAAAAAAGGAAGCTAAAAATATTTATATTATGAGGGCCATAGGGAATGTACTTTTTAAAACTTTAAGCACTATGTAATATTAAGTTATTATTATTATTATAGTCTCATTTTTTTTTCATCTTTGTCAATGGGGCTATCATAGAAATGGTCCTGGGACAAATCACTGTCATCCTAGTAGGAATAGAGATAAGGATGGTTGAGCCTGTGATGTCACTGGTAGAAGGGAGTCCAGTCAAACCCAAATACAAATGGAAGCCTGTAATCGAGCCAAGGAGTGCACAAATTAACATTATCTATGTCGCATGGTATTTTTTATTTATTTTGTTAAACGTTTCCCAAAGGCATCTTTATGTGGTTCCAGCTGCACTTGGGAGTTTTGTAGGCTCTGATTTTGATGACTCTGGTAGAGAACTCCTGGATGGGAAGACCCTCAACGAGGCAGTGTGCCACTCTGCCACTTATGGTCTTAAAGAGTTGTTGAGAGCACTGAGAAATTAGGTGACTTGTTCAGGGTCACAGAGCCAATGCAAGCAGAGGTGACGCTTAAATCCAGGTCATCCTGGCTCCAAGGCCAGCACTCAGTCCATTATTTTATGATTGCCTCTTGCTGTCCTACTATTATTCTTTTATATTTAATGTCCTGTAGGCTATTACATGGGTAGATAAAATAGCCACTGTTTATAGTTAGGTGGTCCAGTGGAAAGAATGCTGGTCCTGGAGTCAGGAAGAGCTGAGTTCAAATCCAGTCTCGGACTCTTATTAGCAGTGTGACCCTGGGCAAGTCACTTAACCCTGTTTGCCTCAGTTTCCTCATCTATAAAATGAGCTGGAGAAGGAAATGGAAAACCACTCCAGTATCTTTGCCAAGAAAACCCAATATGGGGTCACTGAGAGTCAGACATGACTGAAATGACTGAACACCAACATCATAAAATAAAAGCATCAGGATGTAAGCTTATCCTCTGTGTAAAGATCACTGAAAGTATCCTCAGTCCAACTCCAGTAGTAGACAGGACAATGGGGATAATACTCACCTCATACCATTTCCAAATAATTTTGATCTTCTCTGCTAAATCTCTGTATTTTGAAACCTTTCATTCCATGTAAGTTAGAAATCAATTATTTGGTATGGTGATATTTATTTTAAAATGTGTCTTAAATTTCTTTGTATCTATCACTCTTCTCATATGATATCCTCCAGCAGAAATGGTCCTGGGAGGTCGCTATTTATTCTTTATTGTTGTTCAGTCATTTTTCAGTCATGTCTGACTCTTTGTGACCCCGTTTGGGGTTTTCTCAGCAAAGATCCTGGAGTGATTTGCCATTTCCTCCTCCAGTTCATTTTATAGACGAGGAAACTGAGGTAAACAGGGTGAAGTGACCTGCCCAGGGTCACATAGCTAGTAAGTATCTGAAGCCAGATCTGAACTCAGGAATATGATTCTTCTTGACTCCAGGTCTGACATTTTATCCACTGTACCACCTACCTGCCTGGTATATAATTCTAACAAGCTGCTGGTATAAAATTCTGCCATTTGATCAGGTCTTTGGTTGGTGCTAAATTTTTGCATCCTGCAGTCCTGGGATGCACCATTTCTATTGTTTTCTTGCATAATCTGCGTCAATTACTAAATGCTAGTTTCTTAAGGATGACCCTTCTCTAATTTCTGGTGGCAATGACTCAGTCCTAAATCACTGTCTCCATTCCTGTAAATGAGCCAGAATGACTCAGCTGTGTGTTTATTATTATCATTATTATTCTCCCTAGGCCCTGAGTACCAGAAACGGAGGTTGCTCCAGGAGATCATAGAGAATGCTGAAAGTGTTATGGAGAATGTAGGCCGTGGAGAGGCCCCAGGCATCCAGGAGCCCCCTCCAGAGAGCCCCCAGCTACATGAACGGGAGGCCTCCCTCCAAGGGGGTGGCACTCCAGCCCGTACGCCATCACCCCACCTTGCAGGGACACCCCCTGAGGCTAAGCAGCCTAGGCCTGGAACACAGAAGGATGGCTTCCTGAGTCCGGGAGAATGGAACGGGGAGCAGAGCCGAGAAGGCAGCCGTCCAGTAACCCCATCTGATGTGGGTCCTGGTGAGAGAAGCAGCAGGAGCCCCACAAGAACCCCTACTGACCACATGGAGATCCAGCCCCTGCAGCCACCACCCCCACAGCCCACTAGGGAGCCAGAAGTAGCACTCTACCAGGGGTACCACAGCTATGCTGTCCGCACGTCGCCCCCTGTCCCACCACCTTTTGATGAGGAAGAGGCAGATGGTGCTTCCCCCACTACACCTGTGACCCCCTCAGCCTCTCCAGTGTTGAAGCCAGACATCCAGCCTAATGTGGAGGCCCTCCCAAGGGCCACTACACCCCCCAAGCCGGAGCTGAAAGCCAGGGCCCCCAAAACAGAGCCAAAGCATCCACCCTCTCCCATCAAGGCAGACACCGCAAGCCACACTAAGCCCACCAGAAAAACAGAGGCCCGAGGTTCATCCAAGGGTGGGGCCAAAAAGAAGGGACGTCGAGAAGTAGCGGCTGCAGCCTTGGAAGCCGAGACAGAGCTGGAGGAGGTAATGCTGGCTGGGCTGGGGCTGGAGTCGCCATCCCCACATAGAAGTGGTGGTTTCTACAGAAGGATCTATTTACAGTCAGGTGGGATCTTAGAATTCATCTAGTCATCTCCTCTCAGTTTACAAATAAAGAAACTGAGGCCCAGAGAGGGGAAACTCATTGCCTAAAATCACTCAGAAAGTAATGTCAGGATTCAAACCCAGACCATCTGATTCCAAGCCCAGGGTTCTTTGTCACTATACAATGGACATCTTTCTGGCTTATAACCCCTGCAACCCAATGATAGACAGCCAGACCTGCCAGGAAGACTCACCAACAGGAAGGGAAAGAATGCTTCCTGACACATTCTCACATCCTAGAGAAAATGGGGTAGCTATGGTAACAGAAATGATTAAGGTTAAGTCTCCTTCACTGGTGGAGACACCAATGGGAGATACCAAAGGCCTCAGCTTGCCTGGAAATCTTCAATAACTGGTAAGCCCCTCATCTCTGTGAGACCAGTTATTGTTTGTCCTTTGTTCTCAAAGAGGACCATGGCATTAGGAAGGTACAAGTGAAGTGGATTTAAGTGAGGCAGGGCTGTGCAAAGTCACCAGCCTCACTATCTCCTCTGGAACCATCTGGGTCCATTGGCAAGCTATAGATTAGAATGACTGGGGATGGCCCTGGATGCAGTGGGGGACCTTGGCCTTTTTGAGCTAAGTGGTGCAGTGGATAAAGCACCAGCCCTGAAGTCAGGAGAACCTGAGTTCAAATTCAGACACTTATTAGCTGTGTGATCCTGGGCAAGTCACTTAACCCCTATTGCCTCCAAAAATAAAAGAAAGTAAAATGTCTGAAATACCTATTGGCACCACATGAGATGAGTTAGGCCCTACCTAAAGGTAGGCATGGCCCCTAGGGGGCTCTTGCAGCCTAAATTTCTTTAATCCCATATGTGAGCACCCAGAGGATGTTCTGGCAGAGATGCCTCCCTGAAAGTTTGCCCTGTGGTCCTCTCCAGACCTCTCCCTTGCTCTTTTTCCCTACAGGCTCCCAACACTGTCCTTATCTGCATGGTGATTCTGCTGAACATCGGCTTGGCCATCCTTTTTGTGCATTTTCTGACCTGATGTGGCCTTGGCTCAGGTGAGGTCAGGTGGGGAAGATGCAGGGCCGGCTTCCTCCTCCTACAAGGGTGGGAGGGGATGAGCCAAAGGGATGAGCATACTGCTTGAGTTACATGTACTCCTCAGGTTGCTTCTCGGTGCAAAGCCCTTCCCCACCCCTCAGGTGGCTTCCCAGGTCTCTCAGACCCTGGGACTGTGATACAGGTGAGATGCTTAGAAACAAGCAGAAAAAAATGGGAGAGCAATGCTGCCTAGAGCTTTGACAAGTGACATTGCTGGAATTGTCCTGGACATGAGAGGGATTTATCACTGGTCCCCCAACAGTGTGGGCTGATCTTTAGCTCTATAGCCAGGGCTTCAGTTACAGGGTAGACCAGGGGTGGGGACCCTGTGGCCTTGAGACTACATGTGGCCTTCTAGGTCCTTTGGATGCAGCCTTTTGTCTGAGCCCAGGTTTTACAGAACAAATCCTTTCATTAAGGAGATTTATTCTGTGAAGTTTGGATTCACTTGAGGACCTAGAGGGCTACATGTGGCCTCGAGGCCGTAGGTTCCCCACCCCTAGGTTAGACCCTCCCGTCTGACCTCCTTCCCTGAGCCGGGGAGCCTCACCTGTGTGTTGGACTGTTGGGGAGCCTCCCCCAAAATATTCTGCTTCATAGACCGAGCCTCTACATCCTCTCCCTAAATACTCTCTGCCATTGAGGCCCTGGGGACTCAAGTCCACAGATACTCCCCCTGAACACTCTGCCCTCTGATCTAAGCCTTGAAAACACTGCTCCCTGAGCCAAGACCCCTAAAACATCTCTTCACGGCCTGATCTCTCAAACACTCTTTACAGACACTACCCTCTGACCTAGGTCACCAAACAAACTTCCCTAAAGGTGAGTCAATGGTTTAATCTCTCCGACACTGGCCCCAGATACTAGCCTACATCCTGAGCCTCCTGGACGTTGCACGGGGGCATTAATCTTCAGACACCCTACCTATGTCCTGATTCTCCAGGGACTACCCCACAGCCTGCTCCCTCCAACATTCTTCTCCAGCCCTGCCTCATGACCTGGTACCCAAACACTCCCAAGATCCTTCTCCATGGCCTGGCCTCCTAGGGAGACACTTAGCTGGGACAGTGTCCCTTCTTGCTCTGTGGTGGTCCCCCAGTTTATTCCTTTGTGATGACTTGATCATTTTTTTTTTGCTGGCCTCAGGAGTTCCCACCCATGCAAACGTTGGATCTCTTTGCAACGACTGGATGCCACCGCAGCTGTGGGGAGATGCTGAGGGCGAGATACTGGACCCAGGAACTGGCCGCAGGCTTTCCAGCTCTGGCAGCCCTATCCCTGAAAGAAAACTGCCCTGTGTTCTGTTTAGCTTCCCTGATCCCAATCTGGCTTGGTCCCTCCCGGTCTGGGGTGAGGAAGGGCCCTCCCTCTCTAAGCCCTCTATGAACCTGAGGGTGGCATCACCTACATGAGTGTTTGTGGCTGCACCTGCATGTATACCCAGAGAAGGGGACCAGCAAACCCCCCCACTCTTTCCACTTGCCTGGAGGCTCAGGTGCAATGGAATGACTCTCCCCAGCCCCTACCCCCAAACTTTACTTTACCAAGGCTGGGGTTTGGTTCCACTCTCCTAGGCTGCTGCTAGCCAGCCCAGGCTCTCTTGAAGGATCCATCTAGAAATTCAAGGAGCTAGTTAAGGGGCTTTCTGACTCCAGTGGCCAGAGGCAGCTGGGAAGGAGGATGGCATGGGGTGAGCAGAAGCATTGGAGAGGCCCTCACTCTCCCTCGTGGGGCAGGGAGGGGAAAAGCTGCCTTGGCTCCGGCTTGCCTGTCTCCCCTTTCTGCTTCTGGGCTGACACTGCAGAGCAAGATGAAGACAGCTTAGACCCAGCCTACCTGCACTATCCCACAAAGAAAGGAACAAGAACAAATCCATCCACTCCAGCTGCCTGAGGTTTTCCCCAGTGGGGAAAACCACTTTGAGTAATGATGTCTTTCCTGACCCCATGGTGCAAAGGGGCTCCCACTGTGGCAGAAGCAGGCCAGGCAGCCCATGGAGTTTTGTTGGGATGGGAGGCTGGGTGCTTGGAGATCACTGCCTATATCTTTGGAGTGCTTGAAAATGACTTTTGGCTTGGCTGGTATAGAGGATGGCAATTGCATGCGCCTACATTTAAAAGCGTTCCTGTCCTTGGTGGGTCTCCCAGGATGTGCCCTTCTGCTGTGGAGAGGGGTGGGTAAGAAAGCCCCAAAGGTGAGCTAGGAGGCAGGGCATCCTGAGGGGGAGGGACTCAGATCTGTGCCCGTGTGCTGGCCTAAGATGAAGCAGGTGAGGAGTGGGACTAGGAGCAGACGTGCATGTTGTAGGAGCCCAGGTTAAGTAAGTGACATGCCTGATTTCTTTCTTGACTTTTCCCCTCTTTGATATCTGGTTTTTGGACAACTTTCTAAGCTCCCCAGGTGGTCCCATGTGAGGAAGACTGCCTCCCAGCCCTTGCCGTAAAGAGGCACTATAGGGAAGGCCTTGGGTGAAATATACCGCTCCTCCTCACCTCCCCCTTCTCCCCGAACCCCTCCCAGCCTCCGTCCTGTGCTTGCCCGAAGCCTCTGAGATTGGGACAGAGATGGGCACAGAGGTGGAGGTGGAGGTGAGGAACACTGTGCTTCCTCTGTGATCTGTTTTCTCTCTTTCTCTCAATACTCCTGAGCCTTGTTCCTGGACCTTGGGATCTTGAGGATATTTGTCGACTTTGCTAAGGTCCGGATCCCAGCTGCCCTTTAGCTTGGTTTAAATCTCAGCTCTGATTTCTACACAGGGAGGTCAGAGGCACCTACCCTCTTGCTCTAGGCTGCGATGGGGTGCCCAGTCTAGTTTCTGTGTGGTGGTGGGAATTGACCTTTCAAAGGAGGTACCTAAAAGTGCCTGCTACCTCAGGCGAGAGCACTTCATTCCCCAGGACTGGCAACAAACATTTTAGGCCTGGTTCCAGCCCTGGGATGTTCCCCCTTTCTTGTCATGCCTAGGTCCAGAGGATAATGGCAGGGGAGGTGCCTGTGTGCTACGTCCTGGCCTGTCTGTCTGTCTCTTTCTGCTATATTCTGTGCGATAATAAAGATACCTGCTCACCGTCCCAGGCCAAGGCCTGTGTATTGGTTCTATATGTGGGCCATACTCTTCTCTCAAATAAGGTGATTGGGGGTGTGTGTGCCGAATATTCAGGAATAAGAGAAATCCCTGATTGTAAGTGGGGTTTGGTGAGGGAAGGGCTTGGGGGTAGGGGGATGGACCAGATGACCTCTGGAGGTGTCATCCATCCCTGGGACCCTGGGATTTAACTGTGCGTGACTTCACAGAATGTGTGAGAGATCCAAGAAAAGTTGCTTATCTTTTTGGGGCCCATCTCACTCTCCTTACTGCTTCTTAGGTCCTATTTCCTTTACGATCACTCTAAGGGGTGAGGTGATAAGTGGTTCAAGTTTCTCCCCTTCCCAAGCTATTTTTATGTTCATAGTGTGTGTGAGAGAGAGGGGATTGAGGGGGTTGAGGGAGGTGGAGAGGAGGCAAGATAAGAGCAGAGGTTTTAGAGATAGAAGGGGCCTTGCAGATCCCCTTGTTTTTATGTAGGAAGATGCTAAGGGTCTGAAAGAGAAAAAAATGACTTGCCCAAACTCATTTAGTAGGTGACAGAGTTGGGTATGAACCCAGGTCTTCTGATTTCAAATCCAGCGTTCATGGAGGCCCGAAGGAAAAGTAAAATTTTAGGCATCTGTTATAAGTATCTGGGGGAAATGTTTTGGGTCAGGGAGGCCTACCCAGTGTCCAATATGGGATACTTGGACTGAGTGTGTCAGGCTGGCCCTGTCCCATAGGAGAGGAAAAGAGGGGCCTAGGGGTCTTGAGGGGGCTTCAGTCTAAGGGTCCTTGAGATGTGAGTGTGAGGTGTCAGAGATGTGCTAGAAAATAGTTAATAACCAGCTCTCCCCTCAAAAGTATGCATGATACACTTTTAAGTGACATCAACATTATTAACATTTTCTTCATGACTTTCCCAAGTCTAGACAGTCAACAAAATAATAAATCAAGCTCTGATTTGCAGTATCTGCTGACTTCCAAGGTGAAAATTTAACAATAGGCTCTCGTAAGAAATGATTCCAGGGAGGCAGCTAGATGGCACAGTGGATAGAGCACTGGCCCTGGATTCAGGAAGACCTGAGTTCAAATGTGGCCTCAGACACTTACTAGCTGTGTGATCTTGGGCACTTAACTCTGCCTCAGTTTCCTTATCTATAAAATGAGTTGGAGAAGGAAATGGCAAACCACTCCAGTATTTTTGCCAAGAAAACCCCAAATGGGGTCATGGAGAGTCGGAAGCGACTGAAAAACAACTGAACAAGAAGTCACTTAACTTCTGTCTCAGTTTCCTCATCTGTAAAATGGGGAGAACAATAGCACCTACCTCATGGGATCGTTGTGACATAACACATGTAAAGCATTTTGCGAACCTTGATGCCCTATACAAGTGCTAGCTGTTATTATTTTAAATGCTAGCATGACGAAGATATGGAAGGTGGACAAGGAGAGGAAGAGAGAGGAGGACCTCAACCCCAACCTTCTCCCTCGGGCTAAGGCACCTGCCCCGAGCAGGTGGGAGACCTTACCCCTAATTCTCTGCGAGACTTTGATCAAGGGTCAGAGCCTCACTCTCCTCTTCTCTGAAATAAAGAAGCTGTACAAAAGATCCCTAAGGGCCCTTCCAAAGCTAGGGGAAGCTTTGGGACCTGGTGATGGGGGGAGATGTGAGAGGCTGGTCCTCCAGCTGCCCCCTGTTAAGGCTTCAGAGCTCCCTACCTGGAGTACAGAGGGATGAGGATGATGCGAGGGAGCCCCCTGCTGGCCATCATGATGCTGCAGAGGCCGGCTCCCCCAACAGCCGTGGCTCTAGCTGAGGGCCTGATGGGCAGGACCAAGTCCCAGCCCTCCCAGCATCTCGCCCGGCTTCTCCTTCCACTCTAACCCAAGACCACACTGCCCTCAGAGCTCCCCAGCCCTCTGCTCTCCTCCTGCCTCCCAAGCCCTGCCACGAAAAGGGCTCTGGGGGAAAGGAAGATGGGTGTGTGTGTGTGTGTGTGTGTGTGTGTGTGTGTGTGTGTGTATGTGTGAGGGTGTGTGTTGTACATGTGAGTGTGTGTGTGTGTGTGTGTGTTTGGGGGGGGGAGGATTACGAGCTTTCCCCAGCTCTGGAGCTGGAAGGAACCCCAGAAGCCATCTGGCCCAGTCCCACCCACTCTACCCAAACCCTTATTTTGCAGATGAAAAAACTAGCGTGGGGGAGACTTAGACTCTTTAGCTCAGCTGGCACACTGTGCCGCCTCCCAGCCGGGCTCAGCGGGCAAGGACTAGCCCATAGGATTAGTCCATGAAAAAGGAGGAGATCTCCAGCCAAGGGGGTGCTCAGGGTCTGCTCTAAATTGCATCCCAAATCTCAGCTTTTTACTTCAGGGGTTCTTGTGAGGAAAGCACTTTCCAAACCTGAAAACTCTACTAAGCACCTACTACGTCCAGAGTACCAGGAAAGCCACAAGGTGTAGATAAGACATGGTCCCTGATCACTTACACATCATAGTTCACTTCTACAGTAATTTCCTCATAACACCCTGTTGAGGCAGGTAAGGTATTATTATCCCCGTTTTGCAGATAAGAAAACTGAGGCTTTGAAAGGTTAAATAACTCGCCAGTGACCATATAACCAGGAATTGTCCGAGGCAGGATTTGTACCTAGATAGAACTCTTGACTCCCCAACACAGCACAGTACCCACTATACCAAACTGTCCCCAAGGAGTCTATACTCTAGTGAAGGGAAAGGAATGTAATACAAGCGACTATAATACATGATGAATGTGTTGGGGTGGGGTGAGTGCAAAGTGTTACATGAGATCAGAGAGGGAAGATCAGAATCGATGGGGCATTGGGCATCAGAAGGGCCTTCCCTGGTGGATGTGGCATTTGAGTAAGCCTTTAAAAGGAGTAACAATCCCAGAAGAAGAGAGGAGCTCTCCTGACTCTGGAGGTGATCTGAGGGGCAATGATAGCCCTCCCTTCAGGGCTGTTGCTTTGGCCTAAGTTCTGCCTCCAGAAGACCCCTGTCTAACTGCAGCAATGTCATCCAGGAGTACATGGTGGATGACATTCTGAGGAAGGTCCAAGTAGAAGAGATATTTCCTATGGATGAGCAAATCCTCCAGATTCTCCCACGTGAAGACGATATCGTGCTAATTGTGTCAAGCTCCAGAACATTATGGGGCCTCAGCAATGAAATCTATAATTACTCAAAAAATATTGGCATAATAATCCATGCAGGAAAAACTGTATGGATGACAGTATGATTGTCTTGACAATAATGTATCTGGGCCAGGAATATGTCTGACCCTGAAGATGAACAGGGCCCAGCATTGTATAGCAGAGACAGATGAATGAATGAATAGGAACTCAGTAACATTAGAGTGTGAGCTTCTAGAGGGCAGGGACTATTTTTGCCTTTCTTTGTATCACCAGTCTTTACTTGTACATAGTGTGGCCTTATTAAGGGCTTGCTGACTTGTCTTAAGCATTTGGTGCGAATCACTGGGATACAAATAGAAAAAATAAGGCAGTCCCTGCTTTCCAGAAAAAGCAGGCAGGGTTGAATTTGGGAAACTGCATTGTGATTTTCATAATCCTAAACTTCTTCCTGATGTAATGACCCATCTTTTCTTTAACACATCTTTCTGATGATGCTATATATCTGTGATCTTGTGATGTTATGTGTCTGAAGAATCATAGTGTTGGTGGAGAGACCTATGATTGGGGCCCAAGTAGGCTGAAGCACATTTCTGATGATCACCTACAGACAATTAGAAAAGAAGAGGGGGCAGCCATATATTGAAAGCAAAGGACAATAGACAGAGAGACCTGATGCTCCGTGGACAGGGGTGCCCTAGGACAAGAAGACATAGTTAAATTGCCATCTATAGCAATAGAGGTGTAACACCCATAGCAATGTATCCTTGGAGTGTGAGCTCCGGGACTATGTTACCTGCAAGGGCTAATGTAGTAGACCGTTAAGAAGGAGCCTTCCCCTGTCCTCTGTCAATAGCTTTTTAAAAAATTATTACAAAAAAAAGAAAAAATATTATTACAGCATATTGTATATTTGTTTTTTTCATTTGATTCTCAAAACAGTCCAATGAGGTCAATCAGTCCAAATATTATTCTCTCTTTCTTACAGAGGAGGAAACCAAGGCTCAGATGGGTGTACTGACATAAGAACTAACCTGCAGGGGGACAGTGAAAGTGACTTGCCTGAGGTCACATAAGTGGATGCTCTAGGATTCATCATGTTGAAATCAGGAGAGACAAGAGAGACAGGAGAGGATGGGACACTGAAGAGGTTAATTTTGACTTAGGGATAGACCTATTAGGCATAGAAAACTGAGAAAGTAGAGAAATGAGTGGAGCAGAGAGGATCCAAGGAACCCCATGAGGGCAGAGGGACAGGTCTCCTCAGTCACAGCTGAATCCAGGGACTGCCCTGGGAATGAGAAGCATGTGAGCTTTGAGGAGGACTGTCTCCATGCTCATTCCAAGACTGAAGGGGAGAAAGAATATGGTGAATGGAGACAGAAATGAATGAATGAATGAAACAAAATATTTAGTGAGCACTTACTAGGTACCAGGGACTGTGCTAAGACCTGGAGAAACAAATTCAAAATGGAGATAGTTTCTGCCTTCATTAGGGGAATGGTAGCCAGGGAAAGAAATAATAGTCTGGCAAGTCACATAGACAGTGAGTGAAAACATCAGAGCTGTCCATTAACATACCTTTACAGTAGTGGTGATTCGATTATAGGCCTCAGAAAAAGAGGTGTGTCTAAGAAGCAGTATTCTGGAAGGGACCGAAAATGTGGACTCATTGTCCCTCCCAGTGCAGAGCCAAGTGACTTAGCTCCTCCCAGACCTGGCCTCCAGCAAAGAGTCTGTTAGTCTGACTTACTATGTGCCAGGCACTGTGCTATTTCTGGGGATACAGAGAAAGGTGAAAAGCTGAAGATACCCTTATAGAAGTCCAAGCAGGAGTTAAAAATAGAACTAAT